TTGGTGATGGAATTTTTGGAAGAGAAGGTTTGATGGAAATTTATACAATTCAAAAAATCAATTATGGCTTCTTCTTATCCATTAGGATGATTTTACTACCACCTTGATCATTCCAACTTGTTTTCTAAATCTCTCATTGATTTGGTGCATAGCTGATGATGTGCAGATTGGTTGGTCATGGTTTTTAGATGATGGATTGGAGATGGTGGACATGATGATGGTGGTACGTATATTCATGGAAAGGGCTTACTTAGAGCTCATTCAGTGTTTTTATGTTGCCTTCCAAATTGTAAGCTTTAGACTGAAGAGGTGTAGCAATGCGGAATGGAAAGATGTAAATTGACTCTAGTAATGGACCTTCAACTTCTCTACAAGTTAGACCCCACAATAGCATTATGTTTTGATGGGGTATAAGTATGCTGGCCTGTTCCTCCAAGACTACGTGAAGCTCTACTCTAGTATGCTTCTACATGATTCCAGCAATTGCTTAACAGTATCAAATACAAGTGTGCTAATTTGGATTCCTTTCCCTCATGTAGAGAGAGAGAGAGAGCATGGTAATGGCCTAAGCAGGGGTGTTCAAATTTTCGATTACTCATAATTTTCTACTTTAATGGATTCTATTCAACCCTATTGATTGACTAGCCAAAAAAATTTGATAGAAATGCGGAATATTTTTTGGTCTTTTGATTAAATCGAATAGAAATGCGGAATACCCATCAAATTTTTCTATTCTTATCCTACCCTTACCTGTGTGTATATATATACAACATATATTTATTTATTAATTATAAGATTATTTGTGTGGTATAATTTATAATATTGTTATTGTTGTGGATATTTGAATTGCTAAAACATGAACTTATTTTTAGTGTAGGTTACATGATTTGTGATGATTTATTAGAGTAGTTATGATTTTTGATGTGTTTCATATGGTTGTGCACCCTAACCTAAAATAGTTGTTATTATATTTGTGCAACAATTATGATGGATTGATGTTTATGCATTGGACTTTCTTGTGTTTTATTATAATTGTTGTTGTAATTATTTTAGATTTTAGTGTTATTGGTTTATTGTGTTGTTAAATTGATTCAGATTATTTAATTAAATTGTTAAAATGATCCAAAAATTAATAACTACAAAAGTGTTAACTCGATTTTCTACTTGATTAATTTGGACAGAAGTTGGGTAGGAATATCACAGTTGATCGAGTAGGATAGATCAAGAAAAAATTCTTCCGTAAAATACCAGGTAGGAAGACGAAAGACTATGGGGATATTTGTTTGGTTGGCGTTTTTGTTTTGTATTTTGTGTTTTTGTTTTCGTTTTCGTTTTTGTTTTATACAAAAAAAGATGTTTTGGAAATAAGGCCCAAAAACAAAGGAACAAAAAAAAGATATTTTAGGAAACACGTTTATTTGAAACGCGCGCTTATTTAATGAGATTCCCTATTCAAGTCCCATTAACAACAGCAAGATGGATTTTTTTTTCTTCACTTTCTTATCTCCTGTCTCTCTCTCTCTCTCTTAGACGACGAAGACCTCAGACGAAGATTGATCCCTTAGACTCTGACAAACAAAAACAAGACGATGCTCTCTTTATCTCATTCTCATTCTCTGTGAAATCCAGAAGATATGTACATATATATGCACAGATTTGTGCACATATATACAAATATGTGTGTGTGTGTGTGTGTTGTGTTGAGTTTGTTTGTGTGAATGACGAGTTTGTGTGTATGTTATGTCGAGTCTTTGTGTGTGTAAGTGATTAGTTTGTGTGTGTGTTGATAGGACGAAGGGCCTTAAGAAGTTGAACGAATATTCGAAAACAAAGGAAGTTGAGAAATTGAGTAATCTTAATATGTCGAATAAGAAATCGAAGGAATATTCGAGAACAAAGGAGATTGAGAAATTGAGTAATCTTGAGATGTCGAATAAAAAATTGAAGGATTGAAAGGAATTTGTGGATTCAACGAATTCAGAGAAACATGAGGTAGATTGGGAGGTATAGAGGAAAGATTTCCATGACCAAAAGACTTTACAACAGGTAGGAAAAAATTACAAACAACAGGATTCATTTCAGAAAAGTTCGACAATTTCAAGAAACTTGAAGACGATGATGCAAAATTTCTAACAATATCAGGCGAATTTGAGGGAATTTTCCTCTGTAATTGATTAGAATTCATGATTAATTCAGAAAAAACAGATCAAAAAATAAACATATCAAAAATCTTGAAGAAATGTCAAAAAAATCAAAGGATTGATTTAACTGTTATTTAGGATTGATTGAATTACTATTTGGGATTGAATTGTCATTTACGATTGATTGAATTGTCATTTGAGATTATTAACCATATCATTAATTTATCAAATTAATTCAATTTGTTAAGTCTTATTAATTTACCAAATAATTCCTATATTTTTTACCTGTAGGGTAGAATGAATACCCCTAAACCCAAGGAGGCCTTCGTGAAAGTTACGCAAACTCAAATGGAGTAAGCCCACCAAAGTAATTGAAGAGGTGGTTGGTGTTCATGATTCTCACAACTAACGGATATAAACTTTTTCATGTCTACTTATTAAATAAATACCCTCAAAAGACCTGTCAAAAAATTCACTTTCTTGATCTTAATAACACAAAAACAACCAAATAAATAAACGAATGAAGCTAGCCAACTTTAGTATAGAAGATGCCAGTACCTATGATAACAAAATTTAAATAGAAAAAGGCATGGTAGATTATATGGAATATTCAATAAAATCTTGGATTTAGAGGAGGTCAAGGAGATGTTTTGGGGTCTGTTAATGATCTCACCTCTTACATTACAGTACAGGTGGAGGAATATCTCCATGGTCTGTTTGGTAATGGATAATTTTTTGGTCTTATTTTTGAGAAATAGATAGATGTGCACTTATATATCGTTCAAACTTATGAGTTTAAGTAGAATCCATAGTAAATCCTAGGTGCACAAATTAAATCAAGTCTTGCGCTTTTATGAGAATTCAAATCCACATAAAAAATTTGGATACAATTCATCCAAGTAAGTTAGGCCCTTCTTACTAACAAATCACATTTTTTGTTGTTCTTTAAATTTAAAAAGATAAAATTTTTACAAGATAAATAATATTATTAAATTAAAGATCCGTTGATAAAAAAAAAAAAAAATACTAAATAACTCAAATAAAATTAAAAAAAAATTTAAATATCATCCATTCTACGAGGGGCTTCAATTATTTCGGTAAAACCCATTCACACAAAACTCATTTAAGGAGGACTCAGAATTCAATGGAATAATTGACACAAACATGAATAAATAGGAAAAAGAAAAAAAAAACTCATTTGAATAAAAAGGAAAAGGTCTGTCGTTTATATTCCTTAACAGCACAGTTCTTTTATCAATGTGCCAGCAACAACTCCATCCATCCATCCGTCCGGAGAAATTTGATAGGCCACAGCCAGAGTGTGGTGTCTGAAGGATCTCTGAACTCCGATCCTCCTACAACTTCCGCCGCCGCCGCCGCCGAAACAACCTACCTTTATTGCTTTGCTTTGCTTGCACTTCGTTTGGCACTCGCACGGCCAAATGTCCGCAGCGGCAGTAGTCTATGTTTCAACTACAACTCCGACTTCCTCTGCATCTATAGACGCGGTTAGAAGTAAAAACTGCGTCGTGCTCCTTCATAAAGCCTTTTCCTTGTCTTGCAGAAGAAACTCATCTTCCTCCTCCTTTTCATCATCATCATATTCAAGCCCATCGTCCATCAACAAAGTGTTCTTCAGATTCCCATATGGGGTCCACAAGAGGAATCCTTGTCTCACCGGAGTCAAGACCTTTTCCCCTGTTATGGAATGGCAGGATTGCACGTAATGCTACCTATTCTCAACCCGATATTTATTTCCATTCTCTGTACTTTCCCCTTTTTTTCATTTTTTTTTTGGGGGGGGGGGGGGGGGGGTTCAATTTCCAGTCTGATTGGACCAAGATGCAATGAAGCATCGAACTAGTATTGACTACTGTTTATGTTTAACGTTTCTTTAAGGAAATAGTATTGACTATTGACTCGCAAAGTGGTTGAGGAATGCAGGGTGAAGATGGAAATTGACGTGCCCACTTCAGTTGCCTATAATTGCTATTCTGATCGTGAATCCATTCCTCGTTGGATTCCATTCATTTCATCCGTTAAGGTGGGCTTTAGCAATTATTCCTGCTCCCGGGCTTAGGTGCTTTATAATCTCACTCCTCAACTTTGCAGCTATTAGATTTCAGTTTCTAGATCGCCCTTGACTGTAATAGCGAATTTCGGACATATCTCACTTGAATCTGCTGTTTCTGCAAGTGAAATTTGTGGGAGGGCATAAGTTATAAATTTCACAAGTCCCCCCTATTTTCACTAATCCAGTTTGTTTGAATTTCAGATAGTAGTGTAATCCTCCTTAAGTGGACATGCTTTTTCTGCTTTGTATTAGTTCTCTAGATGATACCATAATTTAAAAGGATATGTAACTTTCTTGCCATGGTGGTTTGGTTATATATAGTAATGTTATGCTTCTTCGAAACTATCCATTGGATCAATGGCCCTATCAGGAATCATAGATGATTATGCCTATCAGAGTGAGGGGATTTGGTTTTTGATTCCCAATGACCAATTCAATCTTTATTTTTGTCAATTGCCTTGCTCATACACCTGCTTAAATATCTGTTAAAGCATATTATGGCTAATGTAATTGGATACTCATTCTCCTTCATCCTTACTTCTTTCATTGGATTCACTGTCGACATACACAGTTTTGTGCTACATATGTGAATACCTTCAAAAAATTACAAGATACGTTGGGATTATTATTTTTATTTCCTGTCCAGCGGCTCAAGTAGTGAAGTTGCCTCGGTAATGTTATGATTCTTTTTTCTTGGTGATTTAATGAAAAGCGTTTGCTCCTTTTGCTTACTCAGAAACCAGAGGAAATTGTAACGTATAAATCCAAATATCATCTTTCATATAGTCATGGTTTTTGAAAGATGATAAACTCTTGCCAGCTAATCAAGTAGTTGTATGAGGCTCAACAAATTGGTGGCTTTTCGATTTTGTGGCTCCCCCCCCAAAAAAAAAAAACTTTGCTTCAATACTAAAATTCTTGTTTATTGGTATTTTGATTTGCAACCAAAAAGTGCACTTGTTTATTCCTTGTATGTGTATTTCAAAGCAGAGGATTGTTTTGTGAGTGATCAGTCAAGCAATAGGTGGAGTGATATCTTGAACGCCTACTATGCCCATTTAAGTTGAGCATATTTCTTCCATGCAAACTTTTGTTTGTACTTGTTGAGTCTCATTCTCTTTTTGTCTTATAGATTGACTCTGCAGAACCTAATATATTTGATTTTAAGTTCACTAAATATGCCAAGAGAGCTTTTATTTGGTTGTCTAAAAACTAAATGTTGTAGAAATAAAGATAGTAAGATGGATATGTGGTAAAATGAGAAACGTTAGAATTCGGACCAATAGGAAAATAAATTAAGAGATAATCAACTTCAGTGGGTTTGTATATGTTTGTAGAAGACCTATTAATGCGCCAGTAATGAAGAGTGATTTGATACATATCAATAGTAATATGAGGGGTAGAGGTAGTAGGCTTAAAATAACTTTGAACGAAATTGACAAAAAAGTATGATAACTCACGGTCTAACGGAAAATATGGCTCTTGATAGAGCACAATGGAGAAACTTAATTCATATATCTGACCCCAAATAGTTAGGATTAAGGCTTTGTTTGTTGTTGAATTGAGCTTGTATTTGGCTGTAACAGTTCTACTGGGAGTGCAACTCTGGATTGCACAAGATCTGATTGTCATCAAAAGTTTGGAATCTTCCCATTTTAGTTCTTCAAGTTTACTACCATATGTTTAGCAGTTTCTTCTAATGTAGCTGATTGCACCTTCAGACTCCTACATCTAGGGGAACTTGATATTGGATTCCATTCCACAGATTTTGGAAGATAAGCCTGACCTATCAAGATGGTCATTGAAGTATAAAGCATTTGGGCAAGATATTGAATTCTCTTGGCTTGCTCGGAACATGCAGGTAAGTGTCATCAGGAACTTATCATTCTCATAGTATTTACTTCTCTTATTAATTTGTGGTGTTCCCTTTTCAAGTTGCTTGTGTTTATCGTCTTGCAGCCTATCCCAAATCAGAAAATCCACTGGAGATCTATGGAAGGTCTCCCTAACAGGTAGAAAATTGTTTGATAGACACTCATAACATGAATAAACAAGGACAAACTAGTTGTGTTAAATGCTTAACTTTGTTAGGATCAGGGAGTAAATTTTATTTCCTCCCTTTAACAATGTAAGCACACGACTACAACACAACACTTTTTGAGGATGCCTAGAAGCCTACCTTCCTGTTATCTGCTGTTGATTTGGTTTATTGTTAATTTAGTGCGTTAGAACAACAAACAAGTATCGAGTTTCAGTTACATAATTAGCTAATTTCTAATTTACGTGAAAATATTTAAATTCTGATGGTTGTGAGTTTTTGTCATATAGTAACCTCTTATGGATTCCTATTTGACTTAATCAGTTCCATGTATATTTGAATTCTTGGGGGCTATGTGCCTAATTGGACACTGGTACTTTACTCGTGTAGAAGTCCCTGCACTTTCTGAAACGATGAATAGAATCTTGGTTTAGTGAGATTCCAGAGTTCTGAAGTCTCACAAAGAAAATGTTCTTTTTGACATTGTCATTTTGTCCTAGTGCTGCTGCCATAATTGTAGGGTTTGGTGTCTTTGCTTGGGTGGACAGTGATACTTTTGCCTAAACCATGACATAAAATTAGAAGGAATAGAATAAGATTACATATTCACAGCCATGGATGTTACCTATCTCACATCAACGCTCTAAAGGATTTTTTTTGCCAGTAGATTATTAATTTTGCCAGGACTACTTTGCATCTTTATGTTAATTTTGATGCATGATATGTAACTTTAAGTGTGCCATAAATAGATATTAAACAAAAAATTGCTGTTCACTTGCCTTATGCTTGATACCAGAATTTATAAATTGCTTTGACATGTGCCAGGGGAGCTGTACGATTTTTTCCAAACGGTGCTTCATCATGCGTGGTAGAAGTGAGTCTGGTTGAATCAATTTCATTATTCGTTCATCACCAATGTGTTGCTTGCTGACTTTCCCTTTTATGCCTCCTCTTTACGAATTCTTGGTTCATCTGTCGTCATGGATGATCATCCTTTTGAATGTTTATTACATAGTCACAGTTCCCGTCGATCAAGAGATGGGTTTACTTGGATATGTGGGAAGGGATGATTAAAGTTAAACATGACTAATTTCCTGTATTGTTGGTTGGCCTGCTGGTAAAAATGAGGGGTAATATAAAGGCAAAGTATATTTTTCTTTCTTTGTTTTTGTTTTTTTTTTTGTCTTCCCACCTTGGAGTGGTTCAAATCTACATTATTTCCCCTTACAGCTTAATTTTTTTTTAAATTTTCAGCTGACTGTTTCTTATGAAGTTCCTCAAGTGTTGGTTCCAGTGGCATCTGTAAGCATTCTAACTCAGTCATCGCTTCACATTTAAAACTTTTGGTCAAAATCAGTGAAAGAAGATGTACATATTGCTTAGTTGGTATGAAGACATACAGCAACAGTTAATTGGCAATCGCTTGATGTAAGATTTCCAAAACTTAGATTCTTCTTCTTTCAAATTTTCTGCAGTCTAAAAACTATTGAATCGCAAAATATGTAGAGAAAATAACTATATCCACCTTAAGATAATTGTGTGTGTGTGTTACTGCCAGGTATAAGGTTTTATCAAACTTAGAAAAATGTGCACTCTCTAGGTAGAGCTCCCTTTGCATCTATAGCAGTGAAGTCTCCATCGGTTCTCAGACCCATAAATGTGTATTAACCTTTGCTTTCAGTCGCGTAATTTGCTTTCTACATGCAAAAGGAAATTGAATAACTGCCGAGGGTGTCATTTGTGTTATTGTTCTGGCATGAGTTGAATTAACAAATTTTTCTCTAATTTTGTATCTGTCCAGGCACTGCAACCTTTTCTTGAAGGCTTACTTGCTAGAGGTTTAGAAAATTTTGCAAAATTTGCAAAAACCTACTCAGCTGACTCGGCCTAGGTAACTAAGCTATTGATTGATGAACTGGGAAAATGTCCCACCACTTTGGATTGTAAGCATCATCATCATCTTTTGTGTAAAGGGAACCAAAATCTCAATTCTTTGATCCATTGAACATGAAATTGTTTCTGGTCTTCATAAGCTGGTATGGTACTACTTTATTCTGATTTCAATTGCAATTTACTTTTGCTGACAGAATGTCGTAATACACAATATCTTGATGCGTCTCCTCAGTACCTTAGAAATATAACCCAGTGTTCAACAGCTGGGGAGACACATTGATAATGGGAAAAGGGATTGTTCACTTTTGTTTTGTTGCCTCGTGCAAAAAGAGTTGGAAGGAGATCTGTTCAATTACTTACTTTTGCTTCTCTGGCTTGTGCGTGCGTGCGTCCTTTTATGCACGAGCCCCTCTATGTCCTCAATACCATTGAGCTAATTTCAATGGTTAATGAAGCTGTCCACAATTAGCACTTATAAATCACTCAAATCTATTTCAGTGGTTCCTTGCTTCACTGGGGGTATTTAGTATTTTGGGGGATCTGGGATGGGCCCAAAATGACCCATTGATAATCTTACCATATTCATATATATATCCCAGATAATTAAATTACAAGCAAGCAGAGATAAATATAATTTGTATGTAGTTTGAGACCAATTTCCTACAGCTATATATTCGTATAAATTGATGAAAATTATGACACGCGTATCATCTAATTTGAGATTTGGCATGTGATTTAATTACAATCAAATTTTAATGAAAAAAAAAATGTAAATTTACCCTCTAACCTTTATTCATAAATGTAATGGCAGGTAAGATATTTGGTTACGGTCAGGATTGTATTTGCGTTTACTGTATTTTTTTTTTTTTTTATTTCAACGGTTAAAAGTATTCGGTTAATTTATGCGCATCTCCTATTTGGTTAAGTTAAAGATAGGTCATTCATATTAAAATTAAGATATTTATGAAAGATAATTTTTTTATAACCTACTCTTAAAAAATTATTAAAATTCAAATTCATTTGACATTATCACTTGAAATTGTGTTTACTGTTTTTAACTAACGGCGTAGTAACCCTGACCAGTGTGTGACAAAAAAAATGTCCATTCTTACACGGTAAGTAAAGGTCCACATCAAGCAAAGTCACCGCAAAATTTGTCTTCCCAACCAAGTTTAGGGTCCTAAATCAAAAGCCATGGAACCAATTATATTTACAAGCAGTTGGAGATATTTTATATTTATTTTTTCAAATATGTGTTGTAAAAATAAAATATAAATATTTTACGTACCCCACATTTTTATTGGCTGAAAAATTAAAATATGATACGATATTTTGTCATAATTTTGTATTTTGTTATATAATATGAAAATTTTGAATGCGTTACATTTTTTTCATTAGAAAAGCTAAAATATTGTACCAAAAAAATAATTTTTTGGTAATTTAATTAATTTCAAAAATAAATTTAATTGAATATAAACTTTAATCATATGTTTTTCTAATGCAAAACTTTTATTTGAAAAACTTATAATTTTGACCGATAGACAAGTGATTACAATTCTTATTTCTTGGTGTCATTTGCAGGTGATTAAAAAAGGGAACAGTAGGGGCTGCTGTTCGCCAGGAACAGCAAAGGAGCCGAATCCGACCACTTTCATCAACAATGCTACATCCAATAAATTACCAAAATTTCACTAGGATTAATAAATTTCATAAATTTTCACTAACTACCAAATGACTTTCAATCGGTCACAACATTTATTTATTTAGGATCTATAATTAATTTAATAAAAGGGTTGGTAAATATAGCATTTTCTTTGTTTCATTTCCTTCCATTTGACAGTGTAAAGGTTGGGT